CTACCTAAGTCCTTTAGAGCACAGAAAAGTTCATCATGAGCTCCAGATGCTGCATATGGAGCTACAGAATTTGGTTATTGCCCTGATGGATTTTGCTCTTGCTTTGGTCCATTCATTCCTTGCTATGCCTTGGTTTTTATCATTTTGGGATAGGAATGTTTACTCTGTGCCATTGTATGTTGGAAATATGTAATTTGTTTTTGATTTTATAGGAGCTCTCAGTTAAGAGATTACCTTGAGTCTCAGATGCGACATAGACTTTAGACTTTTAACCTGTTGGAATTGTTAAAGACTATGGGGACTTTTGAATGTGGAGTGTATTTTACATTATTAGATGAACATAAGAGTTGAGGGAAAAGAGGTAAAATCTTATGATTTAATGTGTTGTACTTGGGCTCAGGTTGACCAGTGGAATTGTGATGGTAAATCTCAGTTGTCAACTTGAGATCTAGAATCACCTGGAAGGTGACTACTGGGCATGCTCTGGTGAGTACCTTGATTAAGCTAATTGAGATGGGAAGACCTGCCCTCCCTGGGTGGCACCAGTCCCTGGACTGGAATCCTGGACTGTATCAAAAGTCACAGGTGAGCTGAGCATGGGTATTCACCATTCTCTGCTTTCTTGCTGTGGATGTGGCATGACCGGTTCTTGCCTTCTTGACTCATGATGGACTGTGCCTTCAAACTTTGGGTTAAAATAAGCCATTTCTTTGTAAAGTTGCTTTTCTCGGGGTATTTTATCACAGCAACAGAAAAATAACTAAGACAGTGCTTCTGCAACTGAGGTTTTTCTGGAAGATTCTATATTCAGGGCTCCTGAAAAGTTGGAGAAATGAGCATCCAAAAAGCATCTCATAATTTCCACATGAAAATGTGGCGCTCACTTGATTCCAAGGCCAAGCTGCAGAACTGGTGTGAGTATCTCAACTTCCATATACCGCAGTGAAACAAATCCAGCCGTGAGACGTGGGGAGCTGATTCTTCAAGGCAGACCCACCCTTAAGGATGTATCCAAGATACCACTGCTTTTTCCTCTGGTCAGCTTTTCATCAGAGTAGTATGCAGGTGGTGGCAGTTTTGTGAATATTGCACATGTATCACACGTTGCTTAAACTAGAAAGTTACCTTACACGTCACTCACTTGAGAATGAGTCACTGTCTCTGTAGCACCTCAGTCGTGGGTCTTCTTCTGGAACCCAGAAAACCGCACAGGCTCTCAGGAGTTTCTGCTTGGCAAGAGGCCACATCATTCTCTTGTGGCCGCAGATATGTTTCCTCTGTCCATCTCTGATAAATGAGTGTGTGGGCTCTGCCTTTTCTTAACTTCTGATGTCTTTCAAGGTGGGAGGTGGGGCCATCGGTAGGAAGGTTCTGGGCAATGAGCCCTGCATTTGGGTTCTCACTGTGCCCTCAAATTATTTTTCATTTCTTTGACATCTTTCTCATTCAAGGCGGCAAATGAACCTTTGTGCTGTGTAAGTTGTAGTATTCGGTGACAGGGTATTATGAGTTCTTTGTGCACGTAATTCCATGTTATGAAAACCTTTCACCAACTTCTTAAATTGGCTGGTTTGAAGTGCACATTGTGTTATGGCATAATCTGTATTATTAAGAATATGAACTTGGGGAATTAGCATTAGATCTTTCAGAAGGAACTGGGAATTAAAAGAGAAAGACTTGCCTTCATTCTTCAGTCTTGATTTAGGGTACGTTACTTAATATGTCATTTCTTCTAAGTATTTGACTTCAGTTTCTTCAAGGGACTTGCTGAGATGATTTCAAAACTTTTGTTTAACTGTATTTAAGGAGAAGTTACTGAGGTACTCCTTCAAGAAAATAATCTTTTGTTTAGTTGTTGTGTTTGGGAAGAGCAGTCACAATATATGGCTGCTGGCAAACCACATGTGTGGCTCCTAACAGTAGACACAGAAGAGAGACTCATATACCCTGTTTCTTTCTTTTGTTAGCCTGACATCAGGGACAAGGAAACATTACCACATGTGGAAGGTGCTGATAATTAAGCATGAAAACATTAAGTATGTGTGCCATGCTCACATATGATTCTGAGTTATCATGTGGAATTACAGATTTGTGGGTTTTCACCTTAAGAGCTCTTAGCTCACTCACAGACACATTTCCATTAAGTTGGTTCTGTTTGATCAAAGACATGTAGAGTGCACTTTCTCTGTGGAGTCACTCTGTGCCTTGTATTGTGTCTCCATTATTGTATAACAAGTTGCCCTACATCCCAGTAGCTCAAAGCAACAGCTTAGAGGCTTCACTGGGTTTGGGTTTAGGTGGGGCAGCCAACTTGTCACCTATAATTGCATCTCTGGAGGCTTGGTGGGTTTGGAGACTCTACTTCTGAAAAGACTAACTGTGCCTATGGGTAAGTTCTGGGTGTCCATGGAAAGTTACTTTCCTGGCCATGAGGGCTGCCTGAGTTTCCTCATGATGCAGTGACTGGAAGAACAGGGTAGAAGTTCTGATCTTTGTGATCCATCCCCAGAGTTCCACTCTGTCATGCTTCCTTTGGTCCCAGGTCAGCCCAACTCACTGTTGGGACTGTTTCTCTGGGTTATAGAGTAGGGAGTGACAGCACTAGAGGCCACCCCAAAGCTGTCTTGTAAGCACCCCATCATTTTAAAAAACAAGCTGAGTGGTGGGAATAGAATCTTTAAAAAGCAATTTTCTAATCGCAAAAGGCTGTCATCTGACAACCACACAATCTCAGGTCCTGTGCTGGATAGCTTTAGTGTCAACTTGACACACCTGGGTTGAGGGATCCTCAGTTGGGGAATTTCCTCTATTGGACTGGCCTGAGGGGCATCTTCTTGATGAGTGATGTGGGAGGGCCCAGCCCACTGTGGGTGGTGCCACCCCTGGGCAGGTGGGCCTGTGTTGCACAAGAAAGCAGGTTGAGCAGGGGCCAGGGGAGCAAGCCAGTAAGCAGCGTTCCTCCATGTCCTGTGCTCCAGCTTCTGCCTCCAGGTTCCTGCCCTGAGTTCCTACCTTGGGCTCCCTGATGAACTGTGACCCAGGAGATGTAAGCTAAATAAACCATTTCTTCCCCAAGTTGGTAGTGGTCAGAGTATTTTGTCACAGCAATGAAGAACAAACTAGGACAGGCCCTATTCCATCCCTCCAACTTATCCCAGGTGAAGTCTCAGTCTTGGAGCACTCTCTGCATGCCTGACCATTGCTTATGGAGTTACATTGGTATGAGCAGTTAAGGGAGTGTGTATCCCATTGGAATTCTCCCCTTTGCCTAAGGGATAGCTTGCTCTGTAACTGCTATGAATTCAACTATGTCCAAAACAAATGTCTAAGCTTGGCCTTTGGAGCTGGTGCATGTGGCCTGCCTTGGCAAGAGGGTTGTCCTAATTTATTTTCTATTGCTGTGACCAAATATGCTGACCAAAAGCAACTGGGGGAGGAAAGGGTTTATTTGACTTATACTTCCAGGTCACAATCTATCACTGAAGGGGGTATAGGGCAAGAACTCAAGGCAGGAACCCGGAAGCAGGATCCATGGAGAGGAACTCTGCTTGCTGATTTGTTTCTTGCTGCTCTTTAGCTTCTTTATATAGCCCAGGTCCACCTGCTCAGGAAACGGCACCACCCACAGTGGGCTAGACTTTCCTATATCAATTAACAGTCAAGACAGTCCCTCACAGACATGCCCACAGACCAACTTCATAAACACAATTACTCAATTGAGACTCTTTTCTTCTCCAGGTGAGTCTAGGCTGTATCAAGTTGACAGTTAATGCTAAGTAGGACAAGGTTCTTTGAAGATGTGATTAGTGAAGCTGCAGTCATACCAGAGCAGGGTGAGGTGACTCCTGCCTAATTCAACAGGCCTAGTATCCTCACAAGAGAAGTGAGAAACACAGAAGGGTCAAAAGTCAATAGTAACTACCAGATGCCATGATAAAGTAGGGCGGAGACTCCCTGGAGCCTTTAGTGAGGATCAGGCCTAGATGATATCTTGATCTTAGTTTTGTGGCTCCAGATCTGTGTGGCAAGGTACACAGACCCCTGTTGCAGAAACAAATATACCTCTGAAGGAAATCATATCTAGCAAAATTATTTCTGGCGAGATAGGGATGCCTAAATGTGGTTTAGAGGGAAGCAGGGCTAGGGGCTTGAAGCAAACCTTATCCCTTGAGTCAGATTGTGGTGATTTGAATGAGAATGTTCCCCAGAGGCTCATGTATTTAAATACTTGGTCCCTAGCTGGTGGTGCTGTTTGGGGAGGTTATAAAACTCTTAGGATATGGAGCCTTGCTGAAGGAAGTATGCCACAGGGGAGTGGGGTTTTCAGAGTTTATAGCCTAACCCCACTTCTAGGTCACTCTCTCAGCTTCCTGTGTGTGGATGAAATGTGATCTGTCAGCCTCCTGCTCCAGCCACCTGCTGCCATGCCTCCCCTGCCATTATTGATTCTCCCTCTGGAACCAGAAGCCAAAATTAACTCCTCCATAACTTGGTTTTGCTCATGGATTTTTATCACAGCCACAAAAAGTAACTATTTATGTCTGGATGGGGATTCCTAGAAGTAGTTAAGAAGGAAGCAAAGGTAAGGGGCTTGAAGCAAGTCTCACCCTTTGAGTCAACTGTTGGCCGGTAAGCCCATTTCTTTCCCTTGAATGAGAGAGAAAAAATGGAAAAAGAATATAATAATGACAACAGCAACAATGGTGGGACTTCTGTGCCTGCACAGGCTTTATCATCCCTTGAAGGGTATGGGAGCCTGGGGGAGGCTCTTCCTGACTGTGGGACTCCATAGTGGTGGTACCTGTGGTCATAAGTCAACCTGAGCCTGGAGGCAATACCCTCTAATCTGCAGCATCCTGAGCCAACGGGAGGATGGGGATGATGATGATGAGGCGGAGAAGGAGCAAGCAGACCACAGTGTTGGTGTTCCACTCTGGGTGGGGCTGGTCCCCTTCTTACTAGCCTGGGTCTAGACACTAAGCCAGGGGCTTATCTCTCAGTTTATGTGCAGGTGTTCTCCGCCCTGATCGTGCTCATCGCTGGGGCCTTTGTCATCTCCATTATCTACAGGTGGGTTCACTTAGTTCCTCCATGTGGGAGGAACTGGCCTGGTGCTATTCCTTCTCTCAGCCTGCCTCCTTGACCTGCCTGCTGCTGTTCTGCACATGTCTCCTCTTTGTGGTAAAAGTGACCCCCAATGGTCAGTGGGCATCTGAGACTCCAAGAGCAGTATTTAGCTCACTGGTCCTGCTGGCCTCTGTAGCTTGCAAGTATTGGGACCATCCCCTACTGGAGTGATCAAAGTCAGCCCCCAGGAGGTCCCATGGTTCATCTTAAGGGGCAGTGGGGTAACTTGGTCCTCTGTTGTTCCTAGAGTCCTGTTGTAACAAAGTATCTGACAAGGCAATGTGAAGGAGGAAGGGTTTCTTTTGACTCACAGTTTGAGGCTACAGTCCATCATGGTGGGAAGGCATGGTGGCAGGAGTGTGAGGCAGCTGGTCACATCACATCCACAGTCAGGAAGCAGAGAGATGAATGCTGATATTCAACTCATTTTCTCCTTAAAAAAAAACTATTTTATTTATTATTTTTATTTTATGTGTATGAGTGTTCTGCCTGCACGTAAGTGCACCTGTGTTGTGCAACGCACGTGGAGGACAGAAGAGGCTGTCGGATCCCCTGGACCTGGAGTTACAGACAGTTGTTAGGCGCCATGTGGGTACTGGGAACAGAACCTGGGTCTTCTGCAAGAATAGCCAGTGTTAACTGCTGAGCCATCTCTCTAGCTCCTCACTTTCTCCTTTTTATTCAGTCCAGGACACCGGCCCATGGGATGGTGTTGCCCACAATGAAGGGGAGGTTTTTCCTACCTCAGTTAATCTAATCTAGAAACTGTCAGGCATGCCCAGTGGCTTGTCTTGTCAGTGATTCTAGATCCTGTCAAGTTGACAGTATTAGCCATCACAAGCCCCATGTCATGCTCCAAACTCTGGGTTAAACGAGTCCATGTCCCCTGTGCAGGATGTCAGCATCTGGGAGTCTCAGAGAGGAGCCCCCTTCTGTCATCTTCCTGGAGGAAGTACAGCCTGGGCTGCACAGCTGCTCACTGTCTGCAGGGCAGGGCCAGTGTTTAGCTCAGCATTGCCTTCAGGCACCAGTGCCCACTTGCCCACAGCTCTCTCCTGTGATTGGCACAAAGCTACAGAGAGGATTTACATACCTTTCCCGCCAACTTTCAGGTGGCCAGCATGGCCTGACTTGCAGCACAATGTCTACCTTCCTCCTGGATTTTGTCTTAAATTGAAATGAGACCATGGTTCAGTGTTTACCTTGAAAGCATGTGGGCTTCATCATAGAACCTAGGTTCAGGGGACAGGGTGGGAGGCCTGTGGGGCCAGGAGCTCCTACCTCTAACTGCTCAGCTGTGATCAAGGTTCCCTTCTCCAGCGTTGTACAGGACATCAGGAGAGAGAAGGAGATCCCTGTGGAGCCCACACCAACTGTCACGACCACCAAGGAGGAGTCTGAACCGCCACCTCAAGAAGAAGAGTCATCCAAAACCCCTACTAGCTCCTCTCAGAAAGAGACTGACAGTGACGTGGAAGTGGAAGGTAGGCTGCTGTGGGACCGTGTCTGGCTCTGTCCTTCCGGGTCCTCCCTGGGCAAATGCCCAGTGTCCTCCGTGCCCTCCAACAACAGTGGGAAACTGCTTTAGGCAGGGCAGAATTCCAATTTACCGAACTCTGGAGGGCCAGGTCTGTAAAATGGTTCCTCTTCCCTCTCTAGTGTGGCCTTCCCTCCCCCAAGGCTGAGCTATCAGTGTCACAGGTAGCCTGAGTCAGTGCATAGCCTGGAGAACAGTCCAGCAGCACTTGCAGGTTTATCAAGGTCATTGCTTGGAGCCACTGCAGGGTGAGTGTGGCTGCAGCTGTGAGGTGGTAGCTGAAGAGGGACAGGAGCTCACTGTCCACTCTGGTTCATGGGAGGCAAAATCATGTGCTTGTCACTGACTCTTAGGAGGCCATTGTGGACCCCTTGTTGCTTTTCCTGGGCCAGCAGAAGGCCAGGTTAGAGAAAGGTTAGAGAAAGGGATGTCCCAAACATGGGCTTCCTGTTGAGTGATACGTGGATGGAAAGGCTTGTTTTCCCTATTCAGCCCTATGGACTTGGCTTCAAAGTAGCCTGCAGGGAAAGTGGGCCAGGAAGAACCTGCCCTGCCTAGGGCATGAAACCCACAAGGCACAAGCTTGCCTTGTTCTTGGCACCTTCTGTGTTGAGACGGGTGGGATAAAGACTCTCCTGCTGAGGCTTCAGTCCCCGTGATGCATTGAGAACTACAGGCCAGCACAGTCTACCCACCAACCAGTTTCTGAGACAATACCTGCCCAGTGGCTACCATGTGGCCACACCAAGTCCTTGATAAAATCCCCTTGGGGTGCTGAACAGCCCACCTGAAAAGCACTCAACTTTTTCTTTTCTTTAACCTAGCCACATTGGTGCTCTCACAACACCCAGAAATTGAGGAATGAAGAGTGCTAGGAGGAAGTGCTGTGGGAACGCCTGTGATGTGCTCAGTGACCACTGTTAATGTGTGTGACAGAGTGATCACCTGTGAGAAAAAGTAAAGGTATTTTGAATGTTGCTGCTTGTCCTCAGCTGCCTCATTTCCAGTGGTGCTTCATCTTAGGAGAGAGAGCACCTTTGGGTGCAGGCAGGAACCAAGTTTGGTTTCCATGGGCCTCTGCCTGAAGCGAACATTTAGACCACTGGGCAAGAACACTGCCCTGGCAAAAGCGGCCACCCACCCAGTCCAGTCTTCTTTGTAGAAGACAGAGCAGCATTGCTATACAGACTCGGGGAATCTATGACATTCCAGTGGGAGCTTCCTAAGGACCAGAGAAGGACTATTGGAGGAAGAACTGATCCTGCCTCTGATGCCCTAGCCATCCATGGCCATACCACCCTGAACGTGCCCAGTCTTATCTGGTACCCTAGTCAGCAGCAAGATCTCCCACGGGCTGTGCAGCCTGGGTCCCAGGCTCAGAATGCTCTGTGAATACTTGTATGGGACAGCTGGCTGGGAAGCCCTTCATCTGGGGCACTGGGCTCTTCCCTTTGGAAATGCAGAGCATCTGATCATCTAGGGCCGAAATCCCACAGACTGTGGCTCTGAAGAGATGAAACAGGCAGACAGAGATGATTTGGCTTGCTTGGAAGGTCGCTTTGGTAAACAGTCAGGATGCAGACCCCTGGAGGCCCTAAGGTATGGCTTGCTGGTGCCTCCCATTGGTTGTAGGTATAGAGGCTGCCCTTGCTCTACAGAGATGCAGACTTACTGCAGGAGGTTGAAGGGGCTCAGGGTAGGTCTCTGCTGGCCCGTTCCCTCTCACAGGCATCTCACTGACCTTTTTGCATGGACATCTAGCATGCTTTTGGAAAGGGACAGCAAACGCATATTTTAGGCCTTGAGTATGGCAGGATTCTCATCATATCCCCAACTCTACTATATCATGAGGATGGACATAGACAGGTACATGCATCAAGGATGTAGGGCCAGTAAACCTCAGTTATAAACACACATGACAGGCTGGACTTGTGTGGAAGCTTGAGGCCTCTTCTAGAAGGTTAGTATGTGTCTGGAAGCTGCTGATGTGGGAAAGTGACCAAAGAACAGTGTGGCACTGTGGTGGAGCTGACCCGTGGGCTCAGGCAGCAGAGTACTTGTTGGAAGAAGTCTCTGTCTCTGTCCGAACCCTCAAACGGAGCCAAAAGAAGTCCTTTCTTGAGTTACTTTTGCTGGGTATTTGGTCCCAGCAAGGAGAAAAGTAACTAATATACACAGGGATTATTTAAACTGCAGGGTGCATATTACAGCCCAGGAGCCAGATTTGGGGTTTTCTGATACAATGACTATCTCCCTGAGTTTACTGGGTGGATGTGGCCTACTCAGGGTGAGGAGGAATTCGAGTCTTTGATTTATCAGATGGAATAGAACAGATGTGGGTGGGCTCACTGATGGCCTGGGTAGAACAGAAGGCTGGGTGAGACTTTCCCGTCTGCCCATCTCTGGGCTGTGGCATTGGATTTGGATTTCATGGGACCTTACCCAGGCTGTTATGGGTCTCAGACCTTAGGATGTGACTGGAATTCAAACTTTTTGGTTTCCTGAGTCCCTAGCTGGCCACAGCACATCTTGGGACTGTTTAGCCTCTGTCACCAGGACTGTATGTGTGAAATATGTCCTGTTGGTTCGGTTTTTCTGGGGAACTCTCACTAATTCAGTGGTTTGCAAAGCTTTTCCTTTCCTTGGTAGTGCCTTCTTAGGAATACCAGGGCCTCTCTGTGGTATAGTCACCAAGGAGTTGGAAAGCATACAGACTCTGAATGTGGCACGACTGTGATGAAGACTGGAAAGCTCTCATCTCCCTGGGGTGGTTTTGGTCTGAGACAGTTCCAGGGCTCTTGCTGTGCCTCAAAAAAAAAAAAAAAAAAAAAAACAAAAAAAAAAAAAAACCAAAAAACAAACAAACAAAAAAACCCCACAAAACAGGGGCTTCTGCAGAAGGGCAAGTTAAAAACCAAACAGTACTAGAACATATAGCTGTTTCACATTGAACTGACCACTAAATGCCTAAAAACTGGTGATAGATCTGGGGCCTGTTCTGTTCTGACTGTCCTGGTATGGGTCACAAATAAAGCATGCCTACTGAGTTGCTACATACTACTCTAGGAGTTCTGAGGTTCCAATCACTTAAAGACACAGCCTGATAAGTCAGTAATGCCTTCAACTTCTGTCTCAATATGTGTGTGTGTGTGTGTGTGTGTGTGTGTGAATGTGAGTTGAGTGTAAATGTGATGTGCGTTTAAATATGATGTGTGTGTGAATGTGATGTGGATATAATGTATGTGTAAATGTGCTGTGTATGTGTGGATGTGATGTACATGTGTGTAAATATGATTTGTGTGAATGTGATGTGTGTAAATGCAATGTGTATGTATGGATGTGATGTGTGTGTGTGCAAATGTGTTGTATGTAGGTAGGTGTGAATATGTTTGTGTGTATATGAATATGTTTGTGTGTGTGTGTGTGTATGTGATATGTGGATGTGGATGTGACTGTGGATGTGAATGTGATGTGTGTGTGAATGTGGTCCTGTGTTTCTGACTATGATATTTGTGTGTGTGTGTGAATGTGGTATGTGTAGTATATGCATACATGAATGTATAGATGCACACGTGGAGACCAGGGGAAGGCATGGGATGTCCTTGTCTGTCACTATCTTATCCCTTTGAGGCAGACTCTCTCACTAAACCTGGGGTTTGTGGTTTCCGGCCAGGCTGGCTGCTAGCAGATTCCAGCAATCCTCTCTCTGCCCGTCAAAGCATTGGGGTTACAGGTACAGGTGTGCCCATGCCAGGCTTGTTATATGGGTGCTGGGATCCAAACTTAGGTCTTCATAGTTGTGCAGCAAGCTCTCTTAACCACTGGGCCATCTCTCCAGCTCCTCTTAGAGCATTTTTCTTTTTAAAAAATTTAGAAGTACATTTTATTTATTGTGCCTGGGTGTGTTTGTGTTTGTATGCTGCATTCATGCCATGGTGCATGTGTGGAGATCAGAGAACAACCTGTGGGAGTCATTTTTCTCCTTCCACCATGTGGGACCCAGGGATCGAACTCAGATCACCAAGCTTAGTAGAAAGTGCCTTTCCCTACTGAACCATCTTGCTGGCCTGTAGTATGTTTTTATCAGCTATTCACAGCAGACTCTCTGCCTTGATCCTGAATGCCTTTCTATTGCCCAATAAAATTAGATCCATGTCGAAACTGACAAATATTAATCAATAATTTCCAAAGTTAAATTATGAAAAATTCACAAAAATAATAAACCACTTAATATGGGATTGAATGTTTCATATGCAAGTCAAGAATATGGAGGTTAGTAAGTTCCAAGGCTGAGTTATGAAGCATTTTCAAAAATTATACATCAGGATTTGTTGCTAAAATTCCTTCTGGGTGACACAAACAACATCCGGCTCCCTCCTCCCTTGATCCTTATGACAAACAGAGGTACAATTTTACCAAACGACAGTCTAGAAAACCAGCAAGTTTACTGGGCTTTACTTATAGGAATGTGGGTGCTCACCACCCCTATGGCCACACTGCAAAGTCTCCATCCAGGTGAGGATAGCGACTTCCCCACAGCAGCACAAAATGGCGAGAGACACTCCCCATGGCATCCTCTGCTTATATCCCCTTATCCCCCCACCCCTCGTGCAACTAGGAGCCACTGGTTGGTTGGGGGGCATGGCTGACTCTCCCTGTTCCTCCTTTCTTGTTGAGTGTAACAGTCAACAAGCTTAGCAGTGGTGATCCTAGGTGTCACCAAGCTTGGGAAGAAGGCATCTGTCCGTGGTCCGTCTATCAAAGGATAGTCCTATGCAACAGGACTATTTAGTGTGGGATGTATACTTATTTTTACCATTGATATGGGCTGGGACACTTCAAGTAAAAGCTCCTGGGATACTACATGAATTTTAAAACACCTGAGTGATTTTCTCATCATGCAATGACTTTCATGCTAGGAAATAGTTTTATGCATTCTAGACACGATAGGGAAGCTACTCCCAAGATATTTCCAAAGTGTGGTAGCCTAGCAAGATCTGCATATCACAAAACCAGTTGACATACCAATTTAGATGGGGAAAACTTCACAGGGTCTGACCTCAAGATGAAGAGCTACAGGCAATCAATGGATGCTGAGGGAGAGAAAAATCAGTTTTCTCCAGGGGCTAGTACCTGCGAGGTTATCTAATCTCAAGTGAGTCGTCACGACACATTATACACAAGCACCACTAACTGGATGTGGTGCATTATATATGTATGTGTATATGTGTATATTTATAAATATGTATGTATGTGTATATAACAATAGTAATCAAGAGGACAAGAAATTGTGAAGGAAAGGTGGGACATGGGAGGAGTTGGAGGGGGACTGGGAGGAACAGAAATATTGCAAATATAATACTCATGTATAAAATTCTCCAGAAACAAAAAAATCAATGCATTGTATCTAGTTCCTTAGGGTGTTATTTCAGAGAGCAGTCAGTGGTTGGCAAACAGACTTGGGTGTATATTTCTTGGTTGGGGCCCTGCTCAGCATGGCCGCCTTGGTGGCGTTCAAGGGGCTGGCACAGGGGCTCATAGAAGATGCTATGACTGTCTTCGGAGTAGAAGGACACCAAGTGCTGCTCCTCTCAGAGAAGGCTGCTCCTGAGTTGGAGCTAGTTTGCAGGTGATGCAGAAAGGAACTGTTCTGAGGAGGAGCCCTCAAGAGCTGAGGGAGATGGGGGAGCAGGTTTGAAGGAGTGGCCAGGTAGTTTCTGTGAAGCCTTGCCCAGAAGAGTGAGAGCCTAAGTTGGCCTGTGAGTGTTTACTTGGAGGAGGTAGGCAGGCTCTGCACTTCTCTTTGGGTTACCTGCGCAGGGGGGACATGGTTTCATAGGCCCCTCAGGGCAAGATGGCTTCTGT